CGTGTTCACATGTTACAGGCCGACAGAGTACTGCTCTGCATACCTGGTTGAGGTGGGGGTGCCTGGGGGTGCCCGTACCCCCTACATTTGGGCCTGAGCCTGCCTTTCGAGTTTGTTTTGATGCTGGGGTGGGGCTGGCCACCGGTGGGAGTACCAAATGTGGCTGTAGAAGGAAATCTAGACCTCATTCATGACCTCCCCATCACGAGAATTTTAGTTCTTGGAGGGCAGACAGGGATCTCATACAGAATTCCAGGTGCCCCCACCAAGTCCCAGTTGGTGTAATTCACTGAGGAAAGCCATGACAATCTGACACATGACTAATATAAGCTTGTTTAGATACACCTAGGGGCACTTTCACACTAATAGGTTTAGGAATGATCTAAGTTCCAGCTACCCTCCTCCCCATAGCCCTAAACAGGGTTGCAACTGCATGTTCTGTTGGTGGTGCTTTTTAAGAAGATGCTTAAACTGGTAATTCTTTCTTTGAAGAAGAGCAGGTGTGGTAGTCTGAGCTGGAAGGTGCTCCCAATTAAGATCAGGGCCTCGTCATCAGTTTCCTGTTGGAATGTTTTCTCCCATACCCCCCCCCACACCCCCTGGCTGGAATTTGTCCCCTAAAGTTCCGATTGCATTAAACTTATGGGACAAAAAGCAGCAGGTGGGGATAGATTGTCAGGAGGAAACAAGAGCAGGCTCCTGATGAGGAGCACCTTGCACTTCAGAGCACATTCCCCAAAAACAAGTGAATGGTTCAAGCAACTTGAAAAAGAAAAATGTAATAATGCAACACACCTTGTGCCAAGCAGATTAAGAAGAGTGATCCTCTTCCAATTAACGCTAATCTATGTTATATGGCACCCGAGGTAGGCAGTTGGTACCATTGGACCAGTTTTCCAACCTCCAACCAGCTTTCTTCACACACTTTTTAAAAAAATTAATATTTTTTCTTACCAGTGGTTAGGATTACTGTACAATAGTTTTCTGTTAGTCCCAAAAACTGTGGGTTCAAAGGAGTTGTTTAGTTGGTTGGGACTCAGACCCCACCTCTACCACCTGTTCAGTCTTTTGGACCACTTGCTTGTCCTTTGCCACACTTCTCAGGGCATCCATTTTGTGGTAGTGCCCAGGAGTTTCCAAAATTACCCACATCCTAAAAAGATTGCCTACCATTGAATTAGCAGGATCGGCACAGGGAACACACAACGAGGTGGCCATAGCTCTAACCAGCAGGACATACCTGTTCAGAGGGACTGTTTGTATGTTCTTGGGCTACCATGTGGTCTTTCTGCCCTACCTGTTGATGAATTTTATGGTGTCCATGTTCGGTATTGTCCATTTCACATCATTTTCCCAGCCTCTTGACAGTGTTTTTTAAATGTCTAAATCCTCTTTTAAAAACCCATGCAAGAAAATATTATTGTGCACGTTCCTGATAGCAAAAACACCATCAACTGCTCCGCATACTAGAAATTCAGAGACACAGTAAGAAATCAATAAAAACACAAATTGCTCCATCAATACATGCATTCATTTATACTCTTCAAGGTTATCTTTGCAATGTTGATGCAGAGGCGCATTTTCTCTGTCATGCATATTAAACCAGGCAAAGAGTTATGGAGAGGAAATCCAATCTGTCAGAACAAATCTAGTCTAGCATGTACAATAGATAGGTGCCATGAGTTTCATACCCGCACCTGTCCAACCACACAAACCCTCTAGCTGGATGTAGCTGACATTTCGCAATGTGCATAGACTGTTTGATCAGTACTTCTAACCCATCATATCTTTCAAATATAATCAATAACACCCCAAGGTTGGCACCACTATTATTAGCATGCAGTGGGCTCATATTCGTCTTATCTACATACCAAAGGATTTACTAGTCTGGTATGAAAGGCTTTTATTATTTTTCCAACAGATCGTTCCTGTGCAACAGTTTTCCCACACACAAAACAAAAAGCTAGCAAGTCCTTTCATAACCTATTCACATGTGTAAGCTTTTGGCAAAAATAATGGAAGATTAGGAATCGAGTCTGCTATTCCTCATAAGATTCTGGATCACTAAAAAACCTTGAGATTATTGAAAAAGGAGAAATGGAAACATTGATTGTTGAAGGTAAAGTAATAACTTCTTTTTTTTCTCTGAATGTCAATTGTAAAAGGAAAAATGATGTCAAATAGTCACACATTCATCCTAATTTAAAGTCTAATTTCCATCCTGTTGCACTCCTTTGGATGGGCTGGACTACAATTCCCATCATGGCTCAAATGAGGAAAATCATGGCAGCCATGTGGAAAATCCATGAGGATGAGGAGAGTTTTATCATCATGGAACAGGCCAATAATTGCTTTCTGCATGCTATTTTTTAAACTAGTTCTAAAAATGGTATGTTTAGGACAGGTGGGCAGAGGTTAGATCTCCATATTATAGGGACTTCAACTCCCAGCATTCCTGATCATTGGCCATACTAGCAGGACCTTATGGGAACAGAAGTTCAAAGAGTCAGGGGCCACAGAGCTTGAACTGGGAGCCAGGCAGGTTTGGTTCTGGGTGTCAGCTTTGTGCACCATGGACACATGGCAAAAGGAGGACCCACAATTTGACCAAGGACACTCTTATCAATATGGTCCAGAATCATTTAGGGTTCTGAAGTGGATACGGATATAGGAAAACTCTCTTTCTGTTTGCAAATCCAGTAAACATCTTGTTTGCAATCTCAAATGTGTAGCACGAGTTCTTCTCTCCCCAAGAATATATTTTCAAATTCCCGAATTAGCTGTGGTGCTTGAAAAAAAAATCATTTATTTTTTAAATGTGCTATTTGAAATGTGCACATTTCAAAAATACACATAGTAATATTTTGAAGAAAAGGAACCTCCCTCTGCATTATGTTCAAGTAAGTAGGTAGGTCTACTGAAGTATGTGCACAAACATATGCAAAAGAGAGGATCAAAATTGTCGGAGTGTCCTCTAAAAGCAACAAGAGTTACCAGCCCCCCAAAGAAGTGCCTCTTACATAGCATTCTATGTTTATACAGCGGGAAATAGAAACTTATCCAATTACTATGTTTGTAAATTATAACAGCCACATCAATTTACACACACTTAACTACTTGCCTGTTGGAACAGGCACAGACTTCAACTTGTATTGAAACAAAATGTGAGATGTTAGGACACAGACAACATCCTGGGTTATTACAGATCAGTGAGATTTACTGTATCCTGAGTCTTTGCAAGAATGTGTGCTAATTGGCTTCTCAGCACATACACAGAGTTTACTTTCCCAACAGGCCTAGCTGACCAGACAAATGTTCCAAGGGCTGAGCATCTCCTACTTCTACAAATGTTTATGGGAGAACTGCACCTCTTTGCAGAAATGTGCTCTTTTTCCATTCACAACTAAACAACAATTCACAAATAGCAGAAAGTCAGATTAAACTCCTGAGTAATTTCCGCAGAATTTAAGAGAACTCAAATAGGTTGTTTCTTCTGACCCAAGAATCAAATAACTCCAGAGAGTCAGCCCTGTGTCATGACTTTCTTCTGCCTGTAGCTCCCCTCAGCCTGGACAACTTGTTGCTTGAGGAAGCCACCAGATTTCCTGTCTGTGGTGCTGAATGATCCAGCTGGCTGCTATCTCCTGCAAATCTTCATGCTGCTGCGGGCTGGGTGCCAGGTAGCTTTCCCTGGGGATTTCCTAAACCTTAACTTGCATGTCTAACCATCTAGGACTGGCTTACATATTCTGGGGTGCATTGGAGTACAACTGCCAAGATTCCTGACTGCATTGGCTGGGCTGGTGGAGATGTAGTTGGAAATACGCGGAAGGTCGATCCAGGGTTTTTAAAGGTTAAAAGACTCTTTTTGAGGCTTTTAAGGACTGACTTGGCCATGCATTGGTTGAGGGGAATTGCTAGGTATTGCACAGTCAGTCTTTTTATTATTCTGTGTATTTCCTATTTTATCATCTTGTTTAAAACTTTTTAATGCTTTTTATTTTTCTGACATTTTTATTGCATTTTAATCGTTTGTTTTTAGGGATTGTGGACACCTCCCAGAGATCTTTGGCTGTGGTGTGGTATAGAAATAAAGAAGATGAGGAAGAAGAGGAGGAGGGGAAGGATCTGAAATTATGCCTGCAAAACAACTGGAATCCAATAAGCCCGCTGGTGTAATGAGTTCCCACAACCCACCCTTCCTGTTAGGTGTTTATAAATGAAGAAGCAGCTTGTGTTCTATCATGAAAACAATATTGCATTTTAAGTAGAACCACAAAATTATGCAGAACAAAAGAAATTTCTCTCTATTAAGCAAGGAAAGTGATTTGCAGTGGTACCTTGGCTCACAAACTTAATCCATTCCAGGACTCTAGTCGTGACCCAAATTGGTCGTGAGTCAAGTTAAATTTCCCCATAAGGTTCAATGTAAATAAGGTTAATCCGTTCTGTAACCATTTTTTAAATCAGAAAAATGTGAAGCAAAGTGACAACAACAAAGATCGCGGCCATCTCCCCCCCACCACCCAAGCACAAGCGCAGCCATCTACCCGCCCCACTCCCAGCACGACCGAGATCGCGCCCGTCATCCCTGCAGGCGCCCGTCATCCCGGCGCGCTGGGGGGTGGTGGGGAGAGACAGCCGTGATCGCAGGTGCACTGGGGGGAGGGAGAGATGGGTGCGATCTCGGCCATCTGCCCCGCCCCTGCCCCCTGCACAATCGCAGCCATCTCCCCACTCGGACTGGATGGCCGCGATCGTGCTGACACGTCTTAAATGCACAAACGGAACTATAATCGCGGCCATCTCCACTCGGGGGTGGAGGGGGGGAGATGGCTGCGATCTTGGTCGCCACCCAAAGCGGAGTTTGCGACCCAAGTCAAATTTTCATGAAATTTTTGTTCGTGACCCGATCTGTTCGTGAACCAAGGCGTTCGTGAGCTGAGGTACCACTGTACTTGTTCGTTTCTGTGTGCTGAATGCAAAATTTGGTGCTGCTTCCTGCACCAGAGGTGGGGAAAGTAAACACCAAAGTATCTTAATAATGCAACTGTTGTCATTTTTGGCCATTCAGTGTTCAATATGGAAATCTTTGTAATTATCTGGCAACCTCTGTCCCAGATTTTGTTTTAAGCAGGCAAGACCATAAAGCATTCTGATTAACTCTGATTGTAAAACACCTTCCATATAACAAAGATATAAATTATAGGTTCCCTTAACAACTGCAAATCACTCTTATCTAGTTGCATTATATTATCTTTTTCTGCCGTTTGACTGTTATGAGCTATTAGCCACCAGACCTTGCATGTGCAATACTAATGCTACGTTTTGCTTTCTCCTCCTCAGAAATGCGTATGCTCCCATTGCTAGCCTGGTCCTGGCTGCTGACATGCTACCTAAGACTGTTGAAGATGAAGCAATAACCCTTTTCATCTGCTCTCTCCCCTGCTTCGGGGAGCAAAGCCAAGCAGACAGATCCCATCTCCCTGGCAGAGTCCCTTTGGCTGTGGCTGTGGCAGTGGACACTCAGCTGGAAATGTAAAGCCCATTAAGAATAAGGTCTACAAAGTGAAGTGAGACTTTCCCCCACCATCCCCACTAAAAATGCATTGGTTGGAGCAAGTGATTTGTGGAAAAAGCAACTGCCAGACAGGGGGCTGCTTGATTTGTAGCTCAGCCCCTTAGTCAGGTTTCTGTATAACACAGCAGGAAGTAATCAAACAGCACTGAGGTTGATACGAGGAATAATATCAAACATAAAGACCAAATTTCAGTGGTGCATATTGCATCATGAAACTCTTATTGGCTTTTTATTTCTATCACTTATGTGGTCCACAGAATTATTTTTCTGCTGTACTTTAACAAAGTGATTTGTATTATGTAGAGCTTTAAGCAAAGGAGCCCAGGCCAGACCTCTTATCTTGCATACTGTATAGATATTTCAATGAGACGGTTACTGCCCCAGCTGAGAGGGCAGTAAAACTAAAAGGCCCATTCAAAACAAGGTTGCTGCTGCTTGTATTCACAGAAAGGTATGACTGCTGCAGACATACTGTCAGGTAAGGGTGTGTAGATTGCAGGCACCCGATTCCCAATTCAGAGTCTTCTGTGTGCACATGGAGGGTCTCTTTTGCCTAGGGCTGCCCCATTGTCTGAACACCACACTCACTGGAAACCTGAGTGTGGTTTTAAAACCATATGCTCCAAGTGTTACAGAAAGCCAATCTCTGCCCATCTCTCCTCCCTTTTAATGGCTTTGAGCTACTTTTGGGGGATATATTTATGCTTTGCATTCTAAGGAGTCTTATTGCTAATAGGGTGGGATACAAATCTAATAAATCAATAAATGAGTACTTTTATATCAATTGAAATGTCGCTGTGTTCCATGCTTAAGCACGCTGAGGGGACCGAGATTTAGAGATGGCTAGCAAAGTAGTCTCTTTACAGAACTACAGTCTCAGGATACCTTTGGGCCTAAAAAGACTTATAAGCCCACGTAGTTGTGCCCAGAGTGAGAGAAACAAATATACCAAAGGCTGGACTTTAAGATGCATAGTTACAAGCTAAAAATATGTGAACAGTGTGATTAGTTTCCTAGTTTTTCTTACAAATCCTACAGAGCTAAATTTCATCACAACTGACGTTAAAAAATGGCATTTCAGATGCAGTGAATGACCCAGTAGATCCATTTTCAAGGACATTTCCCAAGTATCAATTTCTCTGCCTTGCTATCGCATCTCAAAAGCCAAAGAAATATAACTGCTGATGATCAAGCACGACAGCAGCAATCTATCTCCATATATTTGTTTGCATAACATTTTGGGTACTTTTGAAGTGGGCCATCTGGTTTTAATTCTTGGGAAAGCCACATTTATAAGAACAGTACCAAACAATGTGCTTACAGATATTCAATCTGCTTTGCATACATTGGGTAATCCCAACAGTGACCCTATAAGGTAGAAAAGTGTTATCACTACTCCCATTAATAAAGTAGATGTCCTTATATAGGTAGGGTTCACCAACCTGGGGAAGGCCAGAAGCAGTTAGCTTTATCCTCAGTTATGCAAGGATCCTGTAAACATATTTATTTGTGTATGGTTCCAGAGCAGTGAACAATAAAAATATAAAAAGAATAAATTCCTATATTAAAAGAGAATATTTTTTAAAAACCACTCCATACAGAGAATGGAAGGCATTCATTGATAGGGTCACCATAAGTTGAAGAGAATTTGACAGCCCATGACAACAAAACTTTCACTACAGCACTACCTTGAGTTTATACATTCAATGTGTATTTTGGGCTTGTTTCATCCATGAAAGAAGAAAAGAGCGAAGGAACGAAGAGGACTGTCAACTTTTGGTGAGCTGTCTATGACGAACTCTATCAACTGAATGTGTGAATTGACTCCATTGAAAAGCATGGCAAACAAAGAAAGCAAAGTGAGGCAAAGTGGAAGTTCTGCCTGTGGTACTGTTTTATTTGCATGTTATTTCCTGATTAGCATGTAGTGTATAAATTCACCCTAAGTGCTATGAATATACGCTGGGTCAGATCCAGACTAAATCAGTGTAATTGCATTTCTGTTGCAATCAGTGGGACCACTTAGTTCCCACTGATTTCCACCCCATGGGAACCTGGTGAAACCAAAATAGGTTAACTAAACCTGCAGAATTGTACACATTAACAAGAAATGATGACGTGCTGTGGGACAGAAACGTTGCAACATTGACATGCAATTCGCTATGTCAAAGCCATGGCGTGAGTGAGTGAAGATGGGACCTTTTCTCATAACCGTCCTCATGGATTTGAGGTTTCCAGTTCAGCAAATTCATGGAGAGGGTTGTTGAGAGCCACAGTTTAAATGTGTACAATTACTAGCTATCGCATTTATTTTAAACTGACCACCTAAACAATGCTATTCTTTCAAAAAGCAATCAGGAATATGCTTCCTTAATTAAATCAAGGGAGTTGCAGAAAAGGCAATTACATGCAGCTCACAAGCCAAAGCTGGAAGCCACTCTTCAAGGAAACATTCCTAAGCTGAACTGTGTCTACTGCATTTTATTTTGTATTAATCGGGATGACATTCTTAATGCTGCCATTTGAAAATCCATAGGCCTCTGTTGCAATCTATTTTCCTTTTTCTTCATCCTGTGACCTTACTGCAGCAAGTATGAAATACGTTTCAAAGTACAGCTATCAACCCATTTGCAACTAATTATAACAGTCAAGTGGTGCAGTAAATGGAACCACCATTTTTTTCTCCATATATATATATATATATATATATATATATATATATGCGCGCGCTGAAGCTTTCTGATCTTCAGCAGGTGAATTCCATGCATAATGTAAGACAGGCAATGCTGTTTGCATAATAAGCTATTTTCTACCACAGAAGCAGAAACATTTTATCACTATAGAGAAAACTCAGATTATGAATACATTTTCCATATATATAAGTTGATTTATGTGAAAATTACCAATAAAAGCAGAGTGTAGCCATCAACAAAATGTTTACTCCCAGCTTAATGTTCTCTGAAAGTTACAAATAAATACTTACAGCAGCCCACTAAATGCAGTATTTTTAATAGGATACAGTAAAGTCCTCACACTGCAATTATATTTGGTGCTAAGTGTTCTTATGGCTGCAGGTACTTGACATATTACTTGTTTTTCCTGCATAGGAAAACCAGCATTAATTTCACCATCATGCGTGTTTCAAATTGTATTTTGTGAACTGCCCAGAGAATTTTGTTCTTGATCAGTTTCTATAAAGCTCATAAATAAGTAACATATTCAGGAAAGCTGCAATTGGCCATGGGTTCCCAGTGTGAGTTCACCAAATGTTTACTCATATATGATAATAATACATAGTTATCTCCATGTGCCTGCATTTTCTACCCAGAAATGCATATCCAAAGAAGCCCCCATTCAGGTTATTTTGGCAATGGGCCAGTAAATCTAATGGTTTCATGCAAGCATTTCATCTTCCATTTCTCTAAAACCACACATAACAACCATCTGATTGTAGCTATGCACATAAGAAGCATTTTAAACTCAGGAGATGAACTTGAACTAAATGCCTACTTCTATT